TTACCACCACCTCCATCACCACCACCTCCACCTCCATCACCACCACCACCATCACCACCACTTTCATCACTACCACCTCCATCACTACCACCTCCATCACTACCACCTCCATCTCCACCAACACCTTCATCACCACCATCTCCATCACCACCACCTCCATCACTACCACCTCTACCTCCTCCACCACCACTACCCTCATCACCACCATCACCACCTCTATCACCACCACCACCACTACAAGTGAAGAAACACTAAGGATTGATTGCTAGCAACCAGTAGAATCTAGAAGAGCCTTCAGAGGGAGCATGGCTCAGCTAACACCTTGAATCTGACCATCTAGCCTCCAGAACTGTGAGAGAAGAAACCTCCATTACTGGAAGTCCCACGTTTGTGGTTCTTTGTTCAGGCAGCCCAAGGACATGAGTACAGAGGGACTGGCCCTTCCCTGTTCTAACAGTCCCTCACCGGCTAGCTCCATGAGGAAGCAGACCTGAAGGAAACTTACTTCCAGCGACAGTGTGCCAAGAAGCCCCGTTGACGGTCCCATCTTCCTTCTGGAAGTCTTCGGTGTGGCAGACTCTCCTTCTTACGTCTGTCATGAGGCGGTGGGTTGAGGCGTAAGAGTAGGCCAGCCAGCGGAACACGTGGTCGTCCGGCGTGGGGGTATGTTCCTGGGTCTTCCACAGTGACCGCACCATGTCATAGGGGTACGCCACCACCAGCTCCCCGCCCTGCAGGTTTCCCCCCAGCACAAAGGGGATTTTCTCCATCCATGCGATGACCGCCCTGGTCTCCACTGCCACCTAGGAGCATCCACAAGCAGAACACTGATGAGTAAAATGTGAGGACACTGCGGACCAGTCCAGCTTTGAAAAGGACATACTGAGGAAGCAATACTTTTATGGGGCACCCCTAACAAAATTTAGAATTTCACCATCTGTCCTGGGAAAATTGGATTTTGTGGAAGTGATAGTTTAAAAAAAGGGGGGGGGGCAGGGATCATTTGGTTTTACTTGATTTTTGATCTAATCAAGGGAGGATGAAGCAATTGTCTTCTTTATGGTTTGTGTTCTTCATCTTCCTTAATAAATGGCTCCCTTCCAGATATGAAACTGAACTCAACCCATGACTCAATTTGTAGTCAAGCAACAGATAGGTATATGGCCAGGGAGGGGGTGACAACAACTAGTGAGGTACACACACCATGGAATCGTCAACCATTCACGTATCCAAGGACAAAGCTCTGAAGGGCAGGGAAAGAAGGGAGAATGGAAACAAGACACAGGGAGGACGTGGGAAGAGTGATGTTACATTGAAGAAGGCTTTGCAATCTCTGTAATGAAACAAAGTCTGTGATTTTGAAATTGATGATCTGCTCCATAAAACGTCACTGGATTGACAAAAACAACAAAAAAGTTGTAGTTTTCCACCAAGCATTTAAAATCATTATTTTCTTTGAGGAAAACAATAAATTAATTTAAAAAATAATTTTAGGTTTATGGGGGGAAAATTATGCAGACATCAGAGTTCCCTGACTCCCTCTTGCCCCTGCGATACGGTGTCTGTTGTTACTGGCATCTTGTGGTCACGTGGTACATTTGTCACAATGGACTAGTCAACACGGATGCATCATTGGTAACTGAAGTCAGAGTTCAAATCAGGACTCAATTCTTTGTGCTGCATAGGCTTCTGGGTTTGGCCAAATACATAATACGTCTACAGTGACAGTACCGTACAGATCTATCTCAGTGTCCAAAAACAATTCGCTTTTCCTCCCCACTCAGTGTTGTGTTTCTAAGATCCTTCCGTTGCTGCATATAACTATTGCTGTTGTTGTTGTTAAGTGACATCAAGTTGGTTCCAACTCATAGCAACCCTGTGTAGCGTCTCCAAGGAGCAGCTGGTGAGTTTGAACCATCAACCTTGTGGTTCAAAATGACCTTATTGTCCAGTACCTTCTCCTGCAGCGCCACGCCAGGACTCTTGCATATATATGTCACCCTAGTTCAGTTTTTATCACTACAGTGTAACTATTTCATCCTTTATCTGTTATCAGGATGCTGAACATAGAGGCTGTTTTGAATTTTTTAATATAATGAACAATGTTGCTTTACACTTTTTTGTACTCTCTTCTGTAAAATGTGCTGAAATTTATTTTGCTTCTAGAACCAGATCAAAGGTCATCTTTACAGGAAATGACAGTCTTATTTTATTCCTTCAGAGTGGCTGGTGAGTTTGAACTGCCGACTTTATAGTTAGCAGTCCAGTTCTTATCCTATAGCACCATTAGACTCATAAGTGCTGGACTGTGGATAAGCACTGGACTGCTAACTGGAAGGCCGTTGGTTCAAGCCCACTAATCACTCCTTGGAAACAAGGTTGCTATGAGTTGGAACTGCCTAGACAGCACATAACAAAAGCAAAGTGTGGTGAATTGGCCCTGCTGCTGCAATGGTCAGCAGTTCAAACCCACGGGTCCCTCGGTGGGACAAAAGGCCTGTTCCTGTAGGAATTATAGTCCAGAAGTCTCTGTGGGGCAGTGCGGCTCTGCCCTGTGGAATCACTGTGAGTTAGAATTGGCTTGACCACACACAACAGCAACATGGGCTGATACCTTAACTTCTGGCCAATGAAATTAAGCAGCACTATTATGTAGGAATTCTGGAGTGTCAGTGTGGCGCTGTGGGTTAATGTGTCAGACTGCAAAGTCAGTTTGAACTGCAAGGTTGATGGTTCAAGCTCACCAGCTGCTCCTCGGAAACCCTATACAGGGTCTCTATGGGTCGGAACTGACTCGACGGCACTTAACAACAACAACAATTATGTTGGAATTCTAGAAAGGCCTCTGAAAGGAAACTGGGTGATTTAAGAAGGGACTTTTATAAAACTATTTCCTTTTTCTTTCCAGACATGGCAACTAAAGCACCGACCGCCATCTTGGATTTGACCTTGAGGATGGAGATCACATGCTGACATAACAGAGGCAGGAAAACAGGTGAATTAGGATTTCTAATGATAACAGGGCTTCTGTTGTAGTCAGTCTTGGACCACCTGCCTCCAGAGTTCTTTTATGTGAAAACAGAAATAAACTTTGTTACCAAAGAAAATCATCACCAAAAACAAACCTATTCCATCAAGTTGATTCCGACTCATAGTGACCCCACAGGACATAAAGTTTCCTAGGCTATAATGGCGTGGCACTGTGGGTTAAGGCACTGGACTGCAAGGTCAGTCTGAACCACAAGGTTGGTGGTTCAAGCTCACCAGCCACTCCTCGGAAGCCCTATCCAGGGTTGCTATGTGTCAGAACCAACCATATTTGAACTGTTGGCCTTGCTTATCCCACAGCACCACACCAACACTCCTAGTAGCCTGCTAAGCCACTGTTATTTTGCAGTTATATGCACCTGAACATAATGCTAAGTAATATTTGTATAACAATCAAGGGACACCTCTTGAGAGGCATGGAGAACCAAAAAACAGTGGTCAGGAAGTAAGTTATAATGGGCAGAAGTGACGATGAATGGCATGGGAAATTTTGTGAGAATTATTCTTTCTTCAACATACTCTTTATGAAAGAAGACCTAAGGAATTTGGAGGAAAAAAAATTCTCATCCAATTTCATTTTTCTTTCTGAAGAAGGGCCACATCTATTAATTGGTGAGAGCTAAGGATGAATTCCAGACTGCTGACAATAATGAGGGTAACAGTGATATTGTTGATAGGTACCATCAAGTTGGTTCCAACTCAAAGTGGCCCTATGTACAAAGGAATGAAAACACTGCCAGTCCGGAGCCATCCTCACAATCAGTGTTGTGTTTTAGTCCATTGTTGCAACAAAAAACAAGCACAAATTTAGGATTCCGTGTTCGTTTTTGTTTCTGAAGTACTGTACAAATGTAACAAAATATAATTAAATGCTTTCTCTTTTCTGAAAAATCTCCCCAAAGATCCATTTAAAAGGTAAGCTATTCTCTAACCTATCTCCCTACTTTTGAAGAAAAAAACATGAGAGAAAAAAATGGCTTTGTCTTGTTTTTAAATGTCTTGTATCCTCTGCAAATACCAGTGAGCATTAATGTTGGCCTTTGGCTGCCTGGTAGATCAAGAGGTATTTCTTACTCACCGTGGCATTTTCCGATAGAAACCACTCAGGGATGGTGATGTAGTGATTGGGAACTCTCCTTGGGATGTTCTGTCGGTCCTGGGCTTCCCAGAGCAGCGTGTTTAAGTCAGGGAAGTTGTTGTTGATGTCGATCCCCTCTTGGGTCCAGCGCCCCAGAGACCAGCCTCCTAGCTCTGAGCCCTGGGAGACAATCAGAACGTGAGGGGTCCAAAGCCTGCAGGCAGTCCTGACGTTAATACCCAAGATACACCCACAACATCTCCAATGGTTAAGTGCTCAGCAGCTAACCAAAAGGTTGGCGGTTCAAACCCACTTGTCATTCAGCAGGGGAAAGGCTTGTCTGTGACCTACTTCTATGAAGATTTACAACCAAAAGAACCCTACCAGAAAATTCTGTTCTATCACATGGGGACTCCATGAGTCGGAATCAACTCAAAGGTACCCCAAAACAACCCTGAACATATAGAAGCCCATTGGCCCAGAGGTGGCCTCCAAGGAAGAATACTGAAAAGGCTTTTGCTAATATTTGGTGGGTAATGTCAAAGACAGAATTCAGAGAACCATTCCTATCACATGGAAGTGCTGAAAAAAAAGTATTCAGTCTCTTCTGCCACCTCTTTCTTGTTTCCTTCTACAGGAACCTCTGAGTAGTAATGAACCTAAGATTCCATCATAGCAAAATCAACACCCACTCTACTAATAACTTTCCTCTGGCCTTGTCTAGGGTTCCGGCTCCCTAACTAGCACTGTAAATCCTTAGCAACTATTTGTACCAATAAACGCTACTACAATTCTGTATTGTAACTGATGGGGCACTGTAGGATAAGTGCTGGACTGCTAACCACAAGGTTGGTGGTTCAAACTCACCAGCCGATCCTTGGAAACCCTATACAGGGTCTGTATGAGTTGGAACGAACTGGACGGCACTTAACAACAACAATGGTTTCAAACCTTTTTAATTTTTTAAAAAAAAATTATTCTCTAATATTTGGACATATTATTATAAATCTATATCATGACATAACACTGGTTGGTGGTTATCAGCCACCAAGTGGGTTCCAACTCATAGCGACCCTATATAGACTCTCCGAAGCTATAAATCTTGACAGGAACAGAAAGCCTCATCATTCTCCCATGGAGTGACTGTAGATTTGAACTACTGACCTTGCAGTTAGCAGCCCAGCTCATAATCCACTACGCTACCAGAGCTCCTTGACATAATGTTACTTATATCCTATATATAACAGGGATAGATCAGAACATAAAATATGATTCTTATATCAGAATAGTAGAGACAACTATCCTTAGAGAACTGCCTAAAGATAACATGTTTCGCCCATGCCTGCCACTGACTAAGTCATCAATAAATGTTAGGTTAGTATCATTTATTTATGTTATTATCATCATATATGTAACAGAATTCGTATACACCCTGCATGTGCCTTAGACATGAAGATGGCAAGACTTCCTTTGTTTACTTTGGACACATCCTCAGGAAAGACCAATGGTTAGAAAATGACATCATGTTGGTAAAGTAGAAGGTCAGGGATTAGAGAAACCCTCACTGAGATGGACTGACACAACAGCTGTGACAACGGGCCCAAACACACCAACCATTGTGAAGACAACACTGCACCAGCTATTGTTACATTCTGAGCTACAAACGGGCGCCATGAGTTGGCTATTAACAACATTCATGGTCACATGGGCACGCCAACAGCACAGGGCCACCAGCATTCTCCATTCCTGCTTTGAGAGCACAGGTTTGGAGATGAACGAGTGGGAAACGGCTGGAAAGCTTGAAAAGAGTACTAGAATACATTGTAAGGAAACTCCCTCTATCTTCAGCCATTGTTGTTGTTGTTATGTGCTGTGGAGTTGGTTCTGACTCATAGCGACCCTGTACAGGGTTTCCGAGGCTGTAAATCTTTACGGGAGCAGAAAGCCTCATCTTTCTCCTGTGGAGCCGCTGGTAGTTTCGAACTGCTGACCGTGAGGTTCACAGCCTGATTCATAACCACTACGCTACATGAATTATGAGTCAGGAAGCCCTCATGAGTCTTCCCTGTCTCCAGAGAGAAGTACTTAACAAAATTGCTTTTTGTGTGGCATTTCCCAACTCTCATGGCTCTGGATGGGACCTGTTGCCAGTGAGAGCAGAGAGGAGTCAGGTGGCTTCATTACCCCTTCATAGGCCTTCTCATAACCATCTGGATTGAGGGAGGGCAGGATGTGAATGCGGGTCTCCTCTACCAGGCGGACGATGCGTGAGTTTCCCGACAAGTACTCTTGGCACAGGAACTGCATCAACAGAAGCATCAGCTCTCGGCCCAGGACCTCGTTGCCGTGGGCACCAGCGATGTAGTGAAACTCAGGCTCCCCTGCAGGCAGAGAGGACGGAACACAGTTCCGGCGGCAAACTCACAGCAAATCAGCAGCACTTAGCTCAATGTGCTGGGCGAGATCTCCAAACCAGAGGCAAGTCTGGGCCTGTGTGTTCTTCCACAGAACCTCCCAAATCACATTAGCATCATTCCTTGCATTCCCAAATAGATAGAAAAATATGGAGATGACAGGAACCACAGTAACAATGTGTATCCTTATTGAACAAGAATAAAAAATGCAAAATGATAACAAAAATAGTGCTCAAGGTTGAAAATGTACAGGATAAGCACAAGCCATAACAATTATTGGAGTGCAAATCTTTTTCTTAAAAGTACAGCCAAAACTCGGAGCTATTGAGTAACTGAGAACTCTAGACTCATACAAAGAGAAAAGCTGTGTGCTGGAGGCTGGGAGGCAGGCTTCCAGATTGTGCCCTTGGGTTGTTTAAAGGATTATATATTCCACTGTGGGGTTTTCTTGATCAAAGAAACAATCTATGATGGTTTGGGGAGGAGAAAATGTTACATGCACCAGAGGGGAGATGCTCGTTGACATGGGTGACGGAGGGAGGTTGGCAGAGGAAAGATGGGGGTGGTGGGAGACACTAGGAGGAATGCAGTGGTTAACGGGAACTGATGGTATATGGAGGGGATCGCAATCATGTAATGAAGCAAAGTATACGATTTGTTGAATGCAAAAATTATGATCTGCTCTGTAAACCTTCACTCAATTCACAATAAAAAGTTTTTAAAAAAAGTACTGCCCCCTCCCCCCCTGCAAAAAACAGAGGGGAAAGAAGCAAATACTTTTAAATGATGATGCATGGAGGGGATTGTAATCATTGCAATGAAACAAAATATGATAGGATGTGCAAAATCGATGTTCTCTCATGTAAATGATCATTCAATGCACAATTAAAGCTTTTGTGAAAAAAAAAGTACTGCCTATTCAACATGGCAAGGACACAAAGAAGAATAAATATAAGCAGAATATAGTCCATCTGGACAAATCATCAATGACACAATGCTATGAAGATGTCTTCGAATATTTTCTCTATCAAAGCTCAGTATTTTCAACCCTGGGTCTTATCAGTGTACACATTGCTCCTGGGCTCAAAGGCAGAACTATCGCTGTTTAAGAAATGTGATTTTACCAGCAGATCAAGCTCTCTTACCCTTAAACAATAACCTCCTGAAATATTGATGGATGTCAAATTGAATGAATCAGACAAATCTTTACCCTCAAATATCAATGGATTTCTAAAGGGTTCAGATTTGCCAAAGACGGGGAAATCCCAGAAGAGTTCATTGGACCTGTAGAAATACAAGGGAGCTTCAAAAAGATTGTAGGAAAATTTAATTTAGAAGATAATAGAATTTTTCCATGAACTTTTTGAGGCCTCCTCAGACAGGTTTAGGGAGCAGACTGAGTGAGAAGTGACTAATAACAGAAAATACTCCATTTAAGATGGCAGTTTTAGAAATTAAAAGGAAGGGAACTCCCTCTAATTTTTAATAGAAGGAGTTCCCTTAATTTCCTGTTAATAATCAGGGAATGCAGACATTTTTTTCCTGGCATTGGACTCTCTGCAGGGTCCCCAGCCACTCTCTTCTTTGTGCTGTTGTGATTGGTCTCAGAGGTAGATGGCATGGAGTGACATATGGCTTATGTCATAGTTCAGAAAGGAAAAGAGCCTTTCTGAACTAAATCATTCCATAGTTCTTAGCACCCAAAGAGAGCTTCACAGAATTCAAATCTGCAGAATCCTGGTCCGGTGAGAACGGTCACATGGACCAAGAATGTTCTCACAGTGAAGCGTTGTCTGCGAGAAGCACATCTCACACGGACCAGTGAGGCATGGCTGCACACATGTTCACAGAGCATCATCTCTGTAGCCTTCAAGAAGGCACCCCTCACCAACTTCATGTTCCCCAGGATGGTCCGAGATCTCCACAGCGTACAGCTTCAGGCCCTGGTGGCTCTTGCCAATATTGTAAATTCTGGTGATATTGGGGCACATTTCATTCACGACCTTCATCAACTGAAACACAAGAGGAATGAAAGATTCTAAGCAATAATGGCCACCAAGCAAAGAAGCAGAGCTCCCAAGACCACATACCTCTGCTCCTCTCCCACAGCCCCACCTTCGCACCCATTGTACCCGGAATGATCTCCAGGATAACACCTCCCCCAGGATAACACCTGCCTTCCCCCAATGGCTCTTTCAGAAAATACCTCAGCCACTACAGTCTCCACCGCCAGCTCTGGCTGCCACCCTCCCTATGTATTGTCACCCTGCATTGTGACTGCCTGTTTTCTTAGCGTTCCCTCACCTATCTGCCAGACCCTCCAAGGGACAGACTGAGGCTTTCATCTCTGAATCCTTGCCTACAAAAATAGTTATGACTCAACTTCAAATGTTCAATAATTTCATGGCAATATAATGTATGAGAGGGCATCTCAAAAGTTTGAGGGAAAATAGAATGAAAAGATACTGGAATTTTCACACAAACTTTTCGAAGCCCCCTCATACATAAACAAGACATTTGCTACCTTGACCATTTTTAAGTGTACCACTCTGTAATGCCCATTACATTCGCCACGTTGGGCAGGCATCAGGATTATCTATTCCAAAACATTCTCACCATCCCTGGCAGAAAGGCTGTCCCTTACGTAATAACTGCCCCATCCCACTTCCCACCCCTGTTTTTGTTATGTGCTGTTGAGTCAGTTCTGACTCATAGCGACCCTGTACAGGGTTTCCGGGAGCAGAAAGCCTCCTCTTTCTCCCGTGGAGCAGCTGGTTTGCAGCCCAGCTGGTACCCCACTACACCACATTTTCAAGGTTGATCCAGGTTACTGTCCAACAGGACTTCATTTCTCTTTGTGACTCAGTAATATACCATGCTTTGCTTATCTATTCATCTGGTGACAGACATTGGGGTTGTTTCCCCTTTTTGGGGCAGTTGTGAATAATGCTGCGATGAACATGCGTGTACATGTGTTTGTTTGAAGTCTTTTGGGTGTGTCGACCTTGTGCTGCATGTGTGGTTAGATTTTGACAGGCAGAAATGGAGGAGCACTCCAAGCAGAGGACAGTGAGCGCTAAGGTACCCAGAGACGAGCGCATACGTTTGTTTCTGGAATAACAGTTTCTGATGGGGAGGGGGAGGAGTGGGGGGGGTGGCTTTGATGGATCAGTACTGGACTGCGAACTACAAGGTTGGCAGTTCAAAACCACCAGCTGCTCCTCAGAAAGCCTATACTGGGTTGTTATGAGTCGGAACTGACTTGATAGCACTTAACAACAACACCAGCAACCTGGGATGAGGATTGCTGGGTCATACAGTGATTCTATGATGAACCTTGTGAGGACCCATCCAACTGTTTTCTATAGTAGCTGCATCATTCTATATTCCGACCAGCAACCTTAGGCAACCTAGAGATGATCAATCCTGCTGAGAAATGCCTCTCCCCAGTCCTAGCGTCAGGCTCTGCTGCTCTCTGGTGGGGGGGTTGGGGACAAGTCAGTGTTCTACAGCCCACTGCTCACACCATTGCAGATCTACCACCCCCAGACCCAGGGCTGCTTCCAACACTCCCAGATTCAATACAAAGGCATCTCCAAGCACCCAGGATCAGCTCCCTCCTCTCTTCCTCACCCCAATCAGGACCAGCCTCCTCCCCCAGTTTAGGACCAGCCTCCTCCCTAGCATAAGACCAGCCTCTTCCTCTCACCTAACTATATGATCAGCCACCTCCCCTAATTTAGGACCAGCCTCCTCCCCCAGTTTAGGACCAGTTTGCCCTCCCAGCATAGGACCAGCCTCCTCCCCCCTCCCACCTCCGACCCCCAATCAGAACCAGCTGTTCCAGAAACAAACCTATCCACTCCTCTCTGGGCACTTTAACTCTTGCTGTCCTCACTGCTTGGATCACTCCTTCATTTCTGCTGGTCAAAATCTAACCACACAAGCAGCACAACAGCCAAGCCCATCTGCTGCCAATGTGTTTCCCAGCCATGGCCATCCAGACCAGCTGCTTCTCCCTAAAACTCCTTATGAACCTCAAGTAAGCATGATCAAGTGACCATTCTGAGCTTAGGAGACCATGACCAGGATCTTCAGTCTGGGAGATAGACAAATGACTTGCAGCATGCTCTGGGGACAATGATTGTGTCCTGCTATATAATGCAGGCATTTCTCCCTTCCCCACTCTCCTCTCCCCACTGTGCCTGGACCAATGCCCCCCAGGTCTGTGTGCTAGAGACATTTACCACACACAACAGAGCAACAAACATTCTCCCTCTTGCAACTCAGTACAGTTTCCTATTTTCTCTCGTTTCCTGTTCTCGCTCTTTTTCTCATTTGGTGTTTATTGTAAATATCTCTTCCAATCAATCGTAGGACAGACCAACTATTTTTTTACAAAGTAGAAAGATTTCCCCAGGAACCTAGGAAACTGCTAAAAATGCCATCTTCTTGCCCATCCCCAGAGCTAGAGATCCAAATGCCAGCTCACTTCTGGATTTCAGGAACATTCTCGAACTTGACAGGGTTAATGATGCTCCAGGGACAGTTACCAATTGAATGCTGCTGGGTTTGTGGACCTTGGAGAGGTCACCCACTATTACCAGCTGGGGCTACACTGATGATGCCCGTGTCCCTCAAGTGAACATCCATTAAGTCCTGCTCATCAGCACTATGTCACGAGGCTCATCCACCAGATCTCCTTAAATAAGGAGAGCCTCATTTTCCACAGGGGATGACCCTTTAAAGACATCAGCCCCTGGACTCTCTTTGTGCCATTTTTGTTGTTGTTTTTAAAGTGCCATAGAGTAGGTTCTAACTCATAGAGACCCTGGATAGGGTACCCAAGGAGAAGCTAGTGAGTTTGAACTGGTGACCTTCCAGTTCAAACCTTCAGCTCATTTTAAATCTGTTTAGATTTACTGCTTGTGGGATGAGGTACGATGACTGTGTTGCTAGTGGTCTGATTTCTGGCTGGGTTCAAAAAGATGTCCTGAGTTCTTCAGTGAGCAAATCTGAACAAACACACAAGTGCTCCATCATCAAATGGAATTATGATCCGAGTCATAGAAATTCTCCAGGAATGCCCAGCTGCAGGGACGGGTCCCAGACCTCAAGTCCAAACACATTATCTTGATTTCTGAAGAGCAAGACAGTAAGAACATGTCTTGAACACATCCCACCTCTAACCCTGCTGATAGGTTTTTCTGTGTGTGACTCTCAGGGTTACGTACACTGAGACAACACCAGGTGTATTCACTTCCTGCGTGTCCTGGTGTAGCACTACAGGATAAACACTGGACCGTTCACTGCAAGGTCGGTGATTCAAACCCACCAATGACTCCTCAGAAACTCCATAAAAGGTTGCTATGAGTCAGAACCGATTTGACAGCATTTAACAACAACAACAGCATGTAGGTCTGTAATGACGGATTTTTGAAATCTGTGTGTGTGTATCTCAAGGTAACATACACGGCGACAACACCAGGTGGGTTCACTTCCTGGGCCTGGGACTGTGAGAGCCTTCTCAAAGCTCAGCCGAACTGTTCCGACTGCACGAACCTGTGTTTCTACAGTGTTTCTACTGTTGCTTCACCCAGCGCCCATGATGCAAAGCTTGTTAACTTGCCCCCGTGAAGCCTTGCTCTACCAATATATCGATGGGGCCATTTCTCTGTAGTTCTCCGAGATCCAGAGGGTTCTCAGTTGCCATCCTCTCCTTGATGAGAGCGGGCACCCAGCCAGGAGTTCCAGCGAAGCACTCAGAACAGAGTCTGCCTCTTTAACTTGTCCCCTCCCCTTTTCGCACCCAGTAAGCGAGAGCTGTCAAGAACTTAGAATTACTTGATTTCTGTGATTCCATCTGGGAAAAACCCCATCTGGGATTGTCATTTCCTTCCAGCAACACCAGAAACCATAAAGGTATTAACCAGTAGCTCGCAAGCCAGACTCTACATTAGAATCACATAGAAAGCTTTCAACATTTTGGCTTCCGGCCCCACTCCTAGAAATTCTGGTGTAATTGGCCTGAAGTCGGATTCACATAAAGGTGTTTTTAACAAATCCCCCCTTGAAGTATGCTAATATTCACCCAGGATTGAGAAATACTGATTTGAAGAGTAAATTATGACTCAGTTTCCCCATCTGTAGAATAGGGACAACAATAATGTCTACTCCTCTAGGGTGGCTTGCAGTCGTTAAGTGTCGTCGAGCCAGTTTCGACTCATAGCAACCCTATATAGGGTTTCCAAGGAGCGGCTGGTGACTTTGAACTGCCAACAGTATAGTTCAAACTGGCCTTGTGGTCCAGTGTTTATCCTATAGCGCCACACCTGGACTCCTATTGAATACATTATTTTTTATACAAGCTGAGTATAGCATCTGACATCTGGAAGGACCTGTCTGAAGGCTACCTGTTGTTCTTATCATTATATATTTATTGTTGTCATATAATAATAATTGTTGTTGTTGTTAGGTGCCATTGAGTCGGTTCCAACACATAGTGACTCTGTATAAGGTTCCCAAGGAGCAGGTGGTAAGCCTGAACCACTGACTTTGCTGTTCAAACAATTTTTCAGTCTGACGCATTAGCCAACAGTGCAACACCAGGACTCTTATACATAGGATCATTTAGAGTCATATGATCTAACAACAACATAGTTTTAGATCCCTTTTCTTCTTCAACCTTGTACATGATCAGCATCCTAAATCTGATACTACTCAAACACACATCCTGAAGAACTTGATTATCAAGGCAGAAAAGTCTGGTTTCATGTTCTGTTTCAGATATTTGCTAGTGAGGGCACCTTCTTCAGATCAACTGAACTTTGCTTTCAACCTTGAAGCTGCAAACATCTAGTGCCTTCAGAAAACCGATCTCTATCCCTAGTCCATCATCTACTTCCTGACACTAAAATAAAGCACTCTATGCATATGACATATTGCATTGTTTTGGGGCAGTTTCCCAGAATGAGACGTTCACTGCAGGCTGGGTCTTACCTGTCGCATTTCTTTATAGTTGTGATGCTTAAAATCCAAGTCATCGGTGGTGGTCATTTCGTTCCGTCCGTGGTAATAATTATTAGGATCTAGTGACAGAAATATAATTTTGAATTCAGCCTCACTGTCCTATTATTTGTGATATCTCTATAAGGGCCTGACGGTAACGTAGTGGTTACAAGTTCAGCAGTTTGAAACTACCAGCCATTCCTTGGGAGAAAGATGAGGCTTTCTGCTCCCTTAAAGATTTACAGCCTCAGGAACCCTATACAGGGTCGCTATGAATCGGAACAGACTCCGTGGCACACCACCACCACCACCACCACCACGTGCCTGGCACCCAGAGGACCACAAAGCAATCCCCTCACAGCCCAGGATCCAGTGTCTCACATTCACGCAGAAGAAAAATAAACTGTAGGAGGCAACTTAGAATTCAGAATAGCACAATGGTGAAGAGCGAGATCCAGGAGCTAGACTGTCCGGGTTCAAATCTCTGCTCTTCTACTTCCGCACTGTGCGAGCTTGGAAAAGTGACTTCAGCCACCTTTGCCTTCACTTTCTTCAGCATCAGCAGGGAAACTATTGGCATCTCCCTCATTCGTTTATTCTTGGTATCAGTGGGATATCTATGCGGCTAAAATGCCAGCACTAACTAATTATCACAGTTACATGCAGATGTATGGACATTCTCGGAAGTGCACTGGACACTATTTGTTGCTTACTCACTCAGCTTTCATTCCCTTCCCACCCTTCATAACAAAACGCTATGGTGTTTTGGAATCTTCCCGTTCCCACTTCTAGGAAGTCAAACTCATGTCTCCAACTCCAGGGGTCCAATTTGACTGGCTGAAGTCAAGCAGAGCATCACATCCCTCTGCCCCACCACTCTTACTGGTCCATGTTGAAGGGAGGACTTTGTTGGCATCGAGAGGGCTGACTGAGGCTCTCTCAGCTGTAGGAATGCAGAAGCGTCTTGGCCAGTGATGGCTGCAATCGCCATTCAATCACAGAGAACCCATCTTAGGATGACACCAATAGTCTGAATGTTTCAGACGCGAGACCAGCTCATGGCCACCCTGACTCCTGGAGTAGAACTGTCCCATAGGGTTTCTAAGGCTGTATTTGTTATAGAGTGGATGATGTCTCTGAACTGCCAATCTTCCATTTAGTAGCTGAGTGTTCACCAGTGCATCATCAGGGTGAGAACCCTCATACTGTCAGGAGCTATTGAGCAAGCCAGCTCTGGAGTCTGACCTTCACTGAGACTTCCAATCACGCGAGATCAAACCACCCCTTTACAGTTAGGCGCATTGGAGCTGTGGTTTCTGTAGTTTGCAGCTGAAGCACCCAAATGGGAACCATCAGACAGTGTTGACAGTGAAGACCTCTAGAGGCGGGAAATTAGGGGGGCGGGGGAGGAAGAAGAAATCTGCTCTTCACTTGATTCTTTAAGACTGATTTTAACAAGAATTCATCCCTATCAGTATGTACTGGTGGTATATTTATAAAAACAAAGAAGGAAAAGAAAGAAGATGAGGAAGAGTGTCAAGGGAGATGAAAGGGGGGTAAGGGTTCACTTGGTAAGCTGAGACCCTTCCCCTGACGCTGACCAGGGTGGATGACTTACTAACCCATGGCCAACCTCATGGACAGCTTGGCCTGCACGATGCACCTGCTACAATACTCAGCTCTTCCTCCAACAAAGAAAAGGTGATGCTGTCAGAAGGTCCCGTCAGCTGTCTGTTCAATCAAAGGGGCTCCAAGGGTGGTTCTGGAGGCAAAGCAGGGGCAGGCAGCAGGGTTCAGGGCAGGATGGAGTGGGGAGGGCTGAGTGCTCAGGCTCCCCCCCAAACACGTGGTATCAGGAGCAATTAGTCGGATTCAATCTCTCCCCCAGCCGGCTGCCTCATTCCTAAGGGTCTGTGTCTGTGTTGAGGAGTCCCTGGGTGGTGGGAACAGTTCATACATCCTGCTGCTAACTCAGATTGTAAGTTTGAGTAGTGGTTACGAATTGGGATGCTAACCTCAGGGTCAGCAGTTCAAAACTACCAGCCATTCCATGGGAGAAAGATGAGGCTGTCTACTCCCGTAAAGATTTACAGCCTCGGAAATCCTGTACAGGGTCGCTATGAGTCAGAACTGACTCCACGGGCACACCACCACCCCCAGAGTTGTCATGGAAGAAAAAACTGGTGATATATTTTTTAAAATCATCCACTGAAAATCCTCCAGAAAACATTTCTCCTCTGACCCACACCACCCACCCCGAGCCAGAGTCAACTTGAGAACTGGATTTTGATGTTGGTGTTTAGTCGGGAGCCTTTCTGCCCTACAGGCCGAGCCCTTTATGCATCAGGCTGGGTACTCCTCTAAGAGCCCAGTGTACACCAGCAAAGGCTGATTGTTGTAGTTGTTGAGGGATGTTGAGTAGCTTCCGACTCATAACGACGCCATGTAACAGAGTAGAACTGCCCCCATAGGGCTTCCTGGGCTGGATTCTACAGAAGCCGATCACCAGGCCTTTCTGCCGAGGAGCTGGTGGGTGGGTTCAAACAGGCCACCTTTCAGTTAGCAATAAATGCTTAACCCTTTGTGCCATTATGGTTCCTTTGATTGCTTGTTACACATACAGAAACTAGGGCCCCAAAGTAGACCTGCTGGATCTGAATCTTCATTTTAACAAGATCCCAGCTGATCTGCAGGCAGGGATAATTGAGAAGCACTGTGTTAAGGTATTTAGCCCATGGCCCCACAGGACAATGCCTGTAGCCCATGGAAGACAGATCTTTGTCCCCACAGCCAGGGGTCTCGGCTGGGGGATGCCTTTAACCTAAAGAACTGAGGTCATATGCAACAAGTTAAAAATCACACACGGACCAACACAACAACTAGCATTTTTAATATTGACAAATACTACTAGAAACACACAACAGTCATTGAAGGGGATCATGGGAGAGGACACATGGCACTTTGTGTAGGAAAGAAAGAAATACCAATTTGGATTTAGCCAAACACCCTCCAAGCTCTTTTCTTATGGGAGCGCAGGCCCCCCACACCCCAGGGAGCAGGTAGCCAGTGAATTCCAAGCCTGTGCATCTCAAAGCAAAGGTATATTGTTTGCATTCATTTACAGAAAGCTTACCCACATGCTGATTTCTCAGAACCAATCAACACCCCACCCCCAAACCTCAGAGCCTCTTTCCAAAGAACTTTAAATCCTTCTTTGTCTTGGAGCACAACTTATGGTGCCGTGCATGGTTTTTCATAAAGATGGAAGAAAACTCATAATCCTACGTACAAAGAACACTGTGTTTGGTAATATTCTTCCTTGTTAAGACTAATCAATTTGCTCAAGGATATGGGTCCCCGTTCCAGAACAGTCTCAAAACCAACCCTCAGTCTCCCACAATTTGAACAAACACTTTTTCACTTGTCTAGTTCTTTAGGTTAGGCCAAGTGTTATAGAGAACTTAGTGTAAGCCTGCTTTTATTAAGCATCACTGAGTCAGATCCAACTCATAGCGACCCTGTAGAGGGTTTCTGAGGAGCAGCTGGTGAGTTTGAACCACTGGCCTTGCAATCCAGTACATGTTCCTGCAATGCCACACCAGGACTCTGGTAAGAGCCTTGTTGTTGCTAAGTGCCATCGAGTTGGTTCCGACTCATAGTGACCCTATATGGGGTTTCCAAGGAGTGACTGGTGAGTTTGAACCACTGACCTTGTGGTTCAAACTGGCCTTGCAGTCCAATGCTTGATCCCACAGCTCCACATATCACATAAAAAGATGAGTGAGACAGCAGCCTTATCCCACTGGATCTGAGTCTACTGGAACAAGTTGCCATTGAGTTGACTGTGACTCATGGACACCCCATGGGGCTTCAAAGGCTAGTTTTTCAGAAGTAGTTCCTCAGGTCTTTCTTCTTTGAACCACTGACCTTTTTGGTTAGCAGCTGAGATCATTAGCTGTTTGCACCATCCAAGGACTCCCTCAAAATCTACAGACAGAGCCAACAAATCAGTTAGTCTGTACAGCAGATCATGATCACTTCAAGGAGCTTGGCCTGCCTACTGCCCCTTCCTCTTTCTGAGGATAAAAGGACCCCTTCTCCAGTATCTCAGCTGCTCTCCAGTCTGCGGATCTCCCCCACACCACTTATTTCTTATCTTCCAATAGGGTCAGATAAGAGAATCCTTAAGTCAACTCAACTACCTTTCATCTTCTTTGAAGAACTGATTTTGAAGTACCCCTGACACAGCCACTGGAAACGTTCCAACACAAGGAGCTCCCGTCTTTACAAAGCTGCCAATTCTATGCTTTGCAGACTACATGTTAGTAAGTTGTTCCTTCATGGAATAGTCAACAGGGGCACTTCAAAATGTTTGTGGAATAAAGGAATGAAAAGATGATGGAATTTCTGCACACAATCTTTTTGAAGCACCCTCTTATGTTTGAGGACTAAAGTACATCTGACCCAAGTCATGGTATTTTCAATCACCTCCTATGTATGTGAATGTTAAACAATGAATAAGGAAGACTGAAGAAGAATCGAAGCATTTGGACTATGGTGTTGTCAAAGAATACGGAAAGTACGATGGGCTACCAGAAGAACCAACAAATGTGGCTTGGAAGAAACATAGCCAGAATGCTCCTTACAAGTCATCATGCCAAGATGTTGCCTCTCGTTCTTTGGACATGTGGTCAGGAGGAAACAGTTCCTGGAAAAGGAATCATCTTGACAGAATGGAGGGTTAGAGCAAAAGAGGAAGATCCCCAATGAGACTGATTGACACAGCAGCAGGAACAACAAGTAACTCAGACTATGAGAAACGTTGTCCATACCAACAAAGGCTCAAGCAATCCAATCTGTACTCACTTAGGTGAGAGCGAGGTTTTCTTTATTCAATTTTGCAAATTCAGGCACTCAACCCAGAAGACATGGGCAGTTGTGCCATATGGCAGGCCCACCAAGAGTTTTATTCCCATTTTTTTCTGCCCCCTAGTCAGTATGCAGTTAAACCTTCTTACCTGGTTGGCACCCATGGCCTAAATGACTGTATTCTTATTTAAAGTTCCTAGTCCTAGAGCAG